TCCAGCCCTCCAGCTGTGGTGCATCTACAAAGTCCATTAGGCATTGCAAGACTCTGACAATGGCAGGCATGAGTCCCAGAGGCAGAAGCATGATGAGATTTGAAGTGTCACGACAGCTGGAGGGCCAGAGTTTGCCTTCCCCAGGTTTAGGATCCTCATGATCCCTGCTGATCGGAGAGCTCTGATTCTGCAGGGGGAGTGTCGGACCTCTGCAAATAGCCCCCTGTTGAGTCAGAGCCAGATCTCCCCAAACAGCAGGGAGCATTGCCTTTGCTGATTGCAAACCTATAGGTCATATTGGGGCTTGTTATATCTCTGCAGAGGGACCACTGCTTACACACACAGAACAAGGGTCCCATTCTGCAGCTGCTAGCAGGGGACAGTCTTCTGTACATGGCAGCCAATCAGCTTCTCTCTTCAGTTTGCTCAGTTAAGATTTGAAAATGAAAGAGAGCAGCTGATTGGATGTCATGTACAGCTGCTCCAGATTTTGTTTGCTCCAGTTAAGATAAATTCCCTTACTTGTGTTTTGATGAACCTGAAACGTATCCAGAGGTGCCAGGGTCACCCGGTCACATGCGCGGCCATCTGATTGACGCCTGCCAGCGGCCATCTTGGTGATGGACGCCGGCAGAGAGAGGAGGGGACGTTCACCCGGCAGGATGCGGTATGTCGCCGGGTCCCCTCCTCTCTCCTGACACTGTCGGGCTCTCGGTCCATGACCCAGTGCCCGACTTTTTAGAGGGGGTGACATCAAAATGACTGTTAGTCATTTTGGTGTCACCCCTGCAATGGGGTGTCACCCCCGCACCCCCCTTGAGACGCCACTGAACATATTTAGCTGATTTAAAGTGAAGGTTCAGTTGAGCTTCCTATAGACAATAAATGGCAATAGAACATGCAGCACAATTTAACTGCCCTCAAAGCAGCCAGTCCTCTGAGTGCTTCATCAACTTTCAAACTTGGCTCTGTGATTGAAGGGAGGTGGGCGGCAGAGCACCATACGGAGACGCTAGTGGAAGGCTTTCTAATTTGCCAAGTCAATTGTTCTCTCCATACGGTGGCATCTTGGAGGAGCCATAGATGTGAGATGGTCACCAGATATGGCCAATAGGAGATGGATCGCGCTGCCATCTCACATCTGTGGGTAGATTCAGGGGGGATGGATAGTCCAGCACATCTGATAATATCTGCATTTATGAAGCCAGCCGTGCACACACAATCTGGCCACAAAACAATCTTCTCCATTTTCCACGTGCACGGTCATGTCAGGTGAATGGGCATATCTGAGACAATGGAGGAGAGTGAAAACAACACCATCCGGTGAACGTTCTCTCATCTCTGCAAGCACCTTTAAGCTGAACTTGAGATTGTATCTGGGAAATTGTGGGTCTTGTTAATCCAATCAGTGACATGTTCCATACGGAGATAGAGATCTTCCAGGAATCTCTCAGCCCTGGAAACAGAAGGTGTGGCAATAAACAGCATGTTTAAACAACACCCAGAGACAACAATGGCTTCAAATGTCACCAGATTGCAATCGCTTTGGCTGCAGCGCTGGAATATTATAAAAAGCATGTGCCTCTCTGATTACAGTTTTATGTGAATATGTCAAGACTTATGGTGGCCGCACACAGAGGAATCTGCGTGCGAATTACCAAATCAAAACACAGGGGGTGCGTCAGATTCGAGCATCATGCGTTGCAATCAGGCCATGTAGGGGTTAATGGAGAAGCAATTAAATCTTATTTTCTCACTTCCAGATTTTCCATGACTGAGTCTTGTCTTTTTTTTCCATAGACAAGAAATTGAGCCTTTCCCCACAAACCCAACTGTGCATTGAGTCAGGGAGAAAGATTATGATAAGATCTTCTAGTGCATAGTATAACAAGGCAGAGGACCTCCTTAAAGGAGAACTATGCTTTTAAAACATAGCAGCTCTTTTATCATGTCCAGCAACACCAAACAACATTGCAAATACAAACTCTGACCTTTTTTTTCTCTGTGCTCTGAGGGCTATCATCATGGGCCCAGGCTAGTGTAGAGTGTGCATTGTTTAGGTTCAGCTTATCAGCAGTCTTCTCTCTAACTCCAGACATGGACTGCATGTGCGCCACATCTTTGTTTGCTTATGGGCCTATTTTGCCAGGAGTTTTACATTATTACTGTGTTGCACTGCACTCATGTCATCACTCGAGATCACAAACTGCTAGAAGAAGGCACCCACTTAATAGATTTCACAGCATAGCTAATCCCTGTCTCCGGGGACCCCCTAGATGTGTGCTCTGCTTGCCACAATTGGTTGTCTGGA